TATTGCTACAAAGTTATTAATCATTTACACTTACGTACCTTCTTTTATACCAAACTCCCGAAAGGCTTTCAAAAAATTGGAAGCGTTTTCGGTTATAGTGCTCACAATATTTGTATGATTTAAGTTGAACTCATCGTTTATGTCCACGATTATACTTGCAATTTTGTCAAAAGTGTGAGCCCCTTGAAAATCTTGTGCAAGCCAAGGCAGCAGATTCTCTCTTTAAATTTTCATTGAGCCCACACCCAAAAAAGGATCGGTGTTTTGCAGACCATATATCTGCTGTAGTACAAAAATATTTTACGTTTGCAATTTTTGTTTTTAAAATTCGCATGCTACTTTGGTACTCTCCGTGCAACAAAAATCAAATATGAGTTTTCACCAAAAGTTGACTTAGCAATTTTTCACTTTAAGCTAGCAATATGTTAATGAGATGATAGTTGGTGTTTCTTTTTGAGACTTTCTTTTCATTGGCAACTAAACTGCCAAAAATTTTCAGCTATTCACAATAATAATTAGGTTAAAAAATAAAAGTCCGCTAATAAAATTGTCACTGAGTCGGCATTCGATACAAGTACTTTCTTCCGATACCTACTCCGTACTCGGTTGAAAAGTATCGATACCAAAATTACTTGGTATCGAATGAAAAGTATCGAGTATGTACTTTTATTCACTAGTATCGTTTTGTCCCTAGAAATGCCCATTACTGCTCTAGATGTTCAATTCAAGAAAAATACAAAAACAAGTGAAAGAATATGATCTACAGATATGCAATAAGCTTTATTTTTTTAGTGGGGTTGCCACCTATTTAAAAATTACCACCTTACATATGATACGTGAAGGCATTTTTTAATAATTACATAAGATTTGCTCAGTTCATGCATTTAAAAAAAAATTACATCTCAAAGGAAAGAGTCGTTTTTCTTATGGCAAATTGTGACAGGCAAGAATTTATCTGGTAGCACCTTGCAGCTTCCTCTAAACTTTTTCCTCTCTCAACTTCTCCTACTTTGCAAATTTCATGCAAGTTTTTGCGTAAAACACCAAAAGATGATAATGTGTAACAATTGTTACAAACTATCATAAACTAGTACGTAAACATACAGAGCTTATATTTTTTATTTATTTCATTATTTTATTTGCAGCTATAATCTATTAAATATAGGCATTTACTTACAGATTATTTACAGTTAACAATTGCAATGTAATTACTAATGAAACTCGTTCATTCAGTAACTGCTTAAACCTAGATTTAGGTAATGAAAAATCAATATCGGCAGAATTTGTGAGCGTATAAAATTCCTTCATCGCTCTGGCAATTGGGGCATTAGAAGCATATATTGTTCTTACTCGATCTAATACATCGTCTATTTGGCACCTTGTAGCTTGTCCCCTCAAAAATCTCTATAAACTCTCTATTCTCGACAATGGACAGGGGTGAGATCGTGCTGGCGATGAAAGCAAGAACTTTTTTATTAAATGTATTTTGCTTATTTGACACCTTGCAAATTGAACTAGAGCTGTTTTTTTGAGCTTTATATTCCAAAAATTCATGAAAACTTTCGATATGCAGAAGTTTTAAATGCGTGATAAAGTTAGAACTGATTCGAAAAGTTCCTTTTATTTTCTTTTTACATTTCAAGCAAGATGCGATTAGAGAACCATTTTCACTCTTAAAAAAATTTATTTTAATTAAATCATACAACAGAAAATAGTTTAGTATACCTTTTGATATACTTTGAAAAACTTTCCACTTGTGAAAAGTATCCTGTTGCCGAAAGTCATTGTGTTATCCGTGTTATCACTGCAACTGCTTGAAAAAAATAAAATAATTTTTACTAATTCAAATTACACAAAAGCAAAGAAAAATGTTGTTTTATTTAGAGTGACCTTTAACTTTGACTTTTTTTTACTTTCCTGGAAATAATTCTAGTTTCTGGCGCACCATAAGTAGGTTTCACATGTACTCTACCAGTATTTTCATCATTGTAATCTGAATCCATAAAATTGTCACATAAATCACTAGCGCTTTCCATTTTTCGTCCGAGATTCACGCAAAGCTTACACGAGTGTTAACAATCAACAAAAATTATTAACTGATCAGTTTATTGAAACAAGATTTTATTTTTTTTCAATATGCTTTTGATTGAATAATTATTATATCTAAGAACGAGATCAATATACTACCAAATTTCGAATCGCAATATGCATAGTAATAATTGAACAAGTACCTTTCAATGACACAGGGAAACGATTAAAAAAAGACAGAGCCTGAGTCAACTTTTTAATTTGTGTTAAAGCCTATTCTCTAACTAAAAATCAAGCTACTAATGGATGGATAAATAATAAAGAAATGAATGGTCAAATGAAAATGTGCGAGGATTTTTTTGAATAAAATATGAGCAGGGAAGAATGTTACTCATAGGCCATTTCAATATGAGTAACATTCTTATGAGATTAAGTGCAAAGACTTTTTTTAAAGCTGAATAACGTTAAATTGAAAATATCTAGAAAGCTTGTCTCATAGTAAAAAATTAACTCCATTTTCAGAATCAACGAGCGATTCTACATAGGAATGGGATAGGGACATCGAGGGACCAAAAAAACCCGATTTATAGTCCAGTATAATTATACGCGATTAAACAATCACTACTCACATTGAAGACCTCACCATGTACCTAGGTAGAAGAAACAATGAGACGTATGCATAAAAACTAAGCATTTGTTTTTCTTAATTTCATACCTTTCACTTAAATTTATTTGAACAAATCGACTAAAGGGTCAAAAATTGTAAGAAAAAGCATTTGCTTAGGTTTTATGCATGCGGCCCATTATCAATTAAACTGCTTTGTATTTCGTATACGTATGTAATTAACTGCATGGCTCCTTACTAACACACAACGAATTACAATATTTATCGTATTAGCTATGAAAAATATCCTGAGTACAACTTAGTGGTTTCTTTTAATGCAAACGGGTAAAACGATTATTTATTTTAATGGATTAAAATTTTCCATTAGCATTAGGTTTGGATAATTTAATAAAAAAAAAAATTCATTAGCATTATTTTTCAAGAATTAATGCATTAAAATTTTATTAATCATTAAAAATTCAAAATTAATGCATTTGCATTTTTTTGGCATTAAATTTTAAAACTTTAAGACATTAATTTTTACATTAACATAATTGCCTCAATGTAACATTAATGCATTAAAAATTTAATGCATTTTTCACAACTCTGGTATACATATCTAAGTCAATATATGTGATATACATGTACATACATCTACATATCGTCATTTAAATACAAAACCGTGTATCAATAAAATGCAAAACCGCGTATAGAGATAATGCAAACCCACGTATGCGAGGTGGCATAAATTATTTTCTAGAGAGTAAAAAAACTCATATTTCAAAATGGTTATATTTTTGTAAAAAGCAATCGCATTTTTGGCTAGTATATTTCAGGAAGAATGGATAAGGATTGAGCCAAGAACTTGTGTGAGCGAATCCAATTTTTAGCAGTAAATGTCAGTTACGCGGTTTTGTACTTTAAGCGACGATATGTATGTTAACAGGAACGCAGCAATCTAATACACGGGTGGAGCAGGAACGCAGCACAGCAGAAGCGTACAAAAAAATCTGCAAATAAATGGTTTTTTAGGTTTTTAACAAACAAAAACCTGGTTTCAACTTACTTCAACGTGTCTAAAACACAACGCACACACTAATGCAAAGGCGCAACAGGAATGCAACACTATAAAACACGGGCGGAGCAATACACAGGCGGAGCGGGAACGCAGCACAGCAGAATCGTCCGAAAAATCTGCGAATAAATAGTTCATTAGGTTTTGAAATAACAAAGAGCTCTTAATCACAGTACCAGCACAGGTCGGTCAGGAAAACACCAAGGAAATGACGTAATAAATGCAAAATTATAATCTACTTGTAAAATAATTCGGTTTTATTACAATACTTACCAAATTTCACGCAATTGGAAAACAAATGTAGCGAATAAGAACGAAACGAACAACGAAAATTTAATCAATGTAGCTTGTTTTGAATTTTTTTCTAATATTTTGGGAAATATTCGGTGAAAATAGCAAAGAAATAACACAGTTTCTCCTAAGGTAGTTCAAGATGGCCGATTAGAGCGAGAAGTTGCCAGCGTATAACACCTTTCATTATTGCATCATGCAAAATTTTAAAAATTCAGTGAATTCAAAAACTGATAGGCCTACTTAAATAACATAATACTTCAAACTTAGCACACAGCTAAAATTTCAAACTCAAGTGAAATTTTACACACTTTTTCCATGAATTAAAATTTTCAAAAGCATCCATTCATTAGAATTGTCCCCAGCTTCTCGAAGTCACTTCGAGTTATATATACGCGCTCCGCAAGTAAGTTTTCGAGTTTCTTTGATATACGCTCACAGTTTAAACTTTGCTCGAGTTTTCCCCAATTTTCACTACCTGGGCCCGCCACTGGGCGGACGGATATATTGAGAATCCCAACGGAAAATTCTTAAAGCAAAAAGTAGGAATTGTTTTTGAATTGATTAGATATATCTTGTCTGAGTAAATTTGATACCTTGGATTCCAAACCACCGAACCGTATTCCAGAATCGGTCTAACTAAAGTTGTAAACAGGTGAAGTATCAAGAGCGTTTTCTTGATTAAATAAAAAATTGCGGGGGTGAATAATCGCAAAAAAAACACGCGTGTTGTCTCGCTGTTCAACTACACAGCCCAAAAACTTTATTTTTCTCTCCATCAGTTTGCGAAAAAGGGGCAAAAGAAGAAACCACAATGACAGGTAGCGGGAGTACACGTATAAGAGCAAAATATTAAACCTTAAGTTAACAATGCTTTTTCAGCAAGAGCTAGATATACATATAACCTTAACCCTTATAAATGTAAGTTAGACAATGTTGATATGACCTAAATAATGTGCATCTGACCCAACATCCCGGCCCCGTTGAAAGTACGTAGAACTTTCAAGTAACTGGTAATAGCGCTATCTTTTGTATGGGGCGGCGGATAACTCCCTTTGCAGTGCGAACATCAGCCACGCGCACTCGATCGTCCTCTCCACGTATGACTCTTTCGATACGACCTAGCATCCAACACTGCGGTGGTAAATTGTCGTCATGCACGATAACCATCGCTCCCACACACACATTTGGGGATGGCTTGGTCCAGTTACTACGCACCTGCAGCTCATTGATATACTCCAGCGACCATCGACGCCAAAGTTGTTGTTTGATCGCGCCCACTCTTCGCCATCGTTCTAACTTACCCAGCTCTGTGACGGGTGTCTCGGGCAATGCACGTAATGAGTCGCCAATGAGGAAGTGGCCCGGGGTGAGTGCGGCTAGGTCATTCGGGTCAGAAGAGAGTGGTGACAAAGGGCGAGAATTCAGAATCGCCTCCACCTCAGCTGTGACAGTTGTAAGCTCCTCGAATGTTAAACGAGCGTTCATAAGAGTGCGGTTGATTAGTCCCTTGACGCTCTTAACTGCAGCCTCCCACAAGCCGCCGAAATGGGGGGCTCTGGGAGGGATGAAATGGAAGTTGATGAACTCACGTACACAAAATTTGTTGATCGATTTGATTGTGTCATCCTTAAACAAAAATTGCTTGAGGGCCTCTAATTGGTTGCTGGCTCCAACGAAATTGGTAGCATTATCGCAGAAGATATCGGACGGTAGTCCACGCCTGGCTACCAACCGTTTCAGGGCGGCGATAAATGCATCGGACGACAAGTCTGACACAACTTCAACGTGCACTGCCTTCGTCGCGAAGCACACGAAAATTGCGATGTAGCTTTTGTAGGGAACCTTGCCTCGAAGGCGTAGGTACGTATTGACTGGACCGCAGAAATCCACTCCGCATCTTGCAAATGGTCTTGATGGGGTGAGTCGTTCGACGGGAAGCTGACCCATTATTTGCCCTTCCAGCTTTGGCCGATAACGAACGCAGTGCACGCAAGATCGGACGACACGGCGAGCTAAATCCCGTGCATTGATGATCCAAAAGCGTAGGCGTATGAGTGCAACTAATGCCTTTGGACCCGCATGGTAATTTTGGCGATGAACGAACTGCACGTACTGGCGGACAAAGTCATCCTTGCCTGGAAGTAGTATCGGGTGCTTCTGTGTATACAGAATATTTGCCATCTCCAATCGACCTCCAACTTTCATCAGCATGAACCCGTCAGTTATCTGCAAAAAGGGATTTAAAGATTTAAGATTACTACAGACCTGTTGGCCTTTGCGAAGTGCTTTGATGTCATCGGAATAGTGCTTTATTTGCAGGTTCCAAATGATGCAATGCAAAGCATGTAACAGCTCTTGTGGTGACGGCGACAATGTATCGAACGAACCCAATTTTCTACTTAAGTTGCTGAACCTAAACATCCAGGCTACGATTTGCAAGCATCGGCTGTGCGAGCTAATTTTATACACTGCTTCGAGTAGGTCGTTAGTGGCATTAACAGTAGCGAAAGCCGATTTACGTTTCTCTAAGTTCACTATATCTTGATCAATATCACCTCGATGGTGCGTCGGCCACTCGTCTTGGTGGCGTTGCAGGTATGCCGGCCCTTCGAACCATATGGACTGCTGCAGCTCACTCACTGAGCACCCCCTGGAAAGCAGATCAGCTGGATTATAGTGCGTTGAAACGTATTTCCATTCGCAACAAGATGTTTTTTGTTGTATTTCAGAAATACGATTTCCTACGAACGTAGATAGTGCGGCGGAATGCTGTTGAATCCAGTGTAGAACGATTTGTGAATCGCTCCATAGATACGTTGTATATTGGGTATCGCCGAAATTCACCTTTATTTTAGCGTAAAGTTGTGACAGCAAATGAGCACCGCATAATTCCAATTTGGGCAATGACAGTTTCCTCGTTGGGGCGACTCTCGACTTGGATGTAATCAACGTGACCTTGACTTCACCGCTAGGGTCAACTGTGCGTGCATATATACAGCATCCATAAGCCCTAATTGAGGCATCACAGAAGCCGTGCAACTGAAGGCTCTGAACGCTGGGTTGAAGGCAATAGCGCGGTATAGTTAGCGATTCCAACGATGAAAGCGATGAGAGGAACGATGTCCATGCGGTGTGAATGTTGTGCGGAACTGACTCATCCCACTGTAATTTTAGCAACCAAAGCTCTTGTATAAGTATTTTTGCAAGTATGATGATAGGTGACACCAAGCCCAACGGGTCAAAGAGAGACGAAGCAATTGATAGTATAGACCGCTTCGTGACAGCATGTGATGTGCGCTTGAGTACAAATGCAAACATAAAGACGTCTTCTCGTTGATCCCACCTTAAGCCCAGAGTGCTGGTTACTGAATCGTCTTCTAAGTTAAGATCTTTAATCGTACAGTCATTAACAAACTCGCTATAGTTCGAGTGCCATTTCGCTAGCTCAAATCTACCACGACGAAGTATCTCAATTACCTCCGTTTTGATTTGATGAAGGCATTCCAACGTGTTAGCTCCACAAATGAAATCATCAACGTAGAAGGATGATTTTATAGCCTCGGCTCCTACCTTGAACTCGTCCATGCATTGCTCAGCTAAGTATTGCATGCTACGTATAGCGAGATATGGCGCGGTAGCAGTCCCATAAGTGACTGTATTCAGTTCAAATGTGCGTAATGGTTGATCGGGTGTACTTCTCCAAAGTATATATTGAAACTTGCGATCATGGGGGTCGACAAGAATCTGTCTGAACATCTTGACGACATCGGCGGTAATTGCATAACGATATGTACGGAAGCGTAGAAGTAACGTGTACAAGTCGGGCTGTATGGTCGGTCCGACCATTAGTAAATCGTTCAGAGACCTTTGTGTCGTTGTCTGACAAGAGGCATCGAAAACCACTCTTAATTTCGTAGTGGTACTGTTCGGCTTGAGTACGCAGTGGTGCGGTATGTAAAAATGTGGGACATCCAACTTCGGTGTTGTCACCAAGCTCATATGGCCCAACTGTTCGTACTCTAACATAAAATCTGCGTATTGCCTTTTCACATCTGATGTGCGGCTCAAGCGGCGCTCAAGAGCTTCAAAACGTTTACGGGCAATTTCATACGAGTGACCTAACAAACCAGGATCATCTTTGAATGGGAGGCGAACTACCACTCGGCCATCAGGTTGTCGGCGAACGGTGTTTTTGAAAGCCTCTTCACAACTGCGCTGCTCTGGAGTGTAGATGTCAACAGAAGTGTTAACCTCTTCAATGCGCCACAGGCGTTCTATGTTGTTGTTGATGACTTCGTCCATGGAAATCGAGTAACTGTGTGATGTGGTGGAGCCGGTTTGGCAACGGCCCGAAACTACCCATCCAAGGAGCGTCTTCTGCAACACTGGCATATTTACACCAAGCCTGACTTGGCCAATGGATAAGATGTCGAAAAACGCTTCTGTCCCTAACAGCAAATCAATAGGACGAGCTTTGTTGAACCCTTCGTCGGCCAACGGAGTATTTTGAGGCAGCTTCCATGATGAGATATCAATTTCTGTGTCTGGATGATATGCAATATTCGAAGTAACACAGAAATCTAGCGGTAGTTCGAATTCTCCAAAACGTGACTTGATTGTTGTAGACGTTCGATGTTTTATCTGAGTCTGGGATTCTCCAATGCTGCGAATTTCCATATGGCTTCGTTTGCGAGGTAATCGGAGAGCCTGTGCGAATTGATCCGATACGAAATTGACTTGTGAACAAGAGTCTAGGAGCGCACGACCAATTTTATAACAGCCTGACGCATCCTTGACCAGAACCAAAGCTGTGGCTAAAATTATTCGATTCAAGCCGGTGTGAGTGTGAACAGCTGCTTCTGAGTTCTTCTGTGGTACTTCAGGGAGTTGCGGAGTTGACTGCGGTGAAGACGAAGACATACCAGCTGAATCACGATGCAATAGTGTATGATGGGAGCGAGAACACGATCGACACCTGTGTGTGGATGGGCATTTCGCAGCCTGATGACCCTTGCCCAAGCAATTGAGACAAAGTCCCAGTCGCTTAGTGATGTCATAACGCTGATTGAGTGTAGCACCAACGATTTGAGGACACCTGTAAGTTCTGTGCTCCGTGCTAGCGCATGAATGACACGTTTGCGATGTGCAGTTGAAAGTCAACCCTTGGCGCTGGTGTTTTTGGTTTCGTGGCTTACCAATAGCTTGCTGACTCGCGCTACTATCGGTACCGGGCTTACTTATTGACTCCAAGAATTGGCAATGTCGTTCGACAACCGAAACGCAGGATGTCCATGTAGGAAGATCGCTGAAGTTCAAATGCTCATTCCATTTCTTTTTGGTGTCTTGATCCACCCTTTCCATAACGATGGAGATAAGCATAGCCTCAGCAATTTGCGATGCATTACCCAGTGACAACAATGAATTGTACAAGGCTGATGAGTTGTCGATCAGGCTACGAAGCTGTTTCGCATTTGACCTTGAAACACTAGGTAAAGTAAAAAGCGAATTTATGTTGTCCAAGAATACGAGCGTTGGATTATCGTAGCGGGCCTTGAGGCGTTCCAGCGCCTTTGAATAATTTTCCGAAGTGATTTGAAAAGCCTTGACAGTTTCTAAGGCCGGGCCACGTAAGCAATTGATTAGTTGATTGAACTTTTCGATGGATGACAAAGTAGACTGCTTATCAACGACTAACTTAAACGATGTTATAAAGTTTTTATAGTCGGAGTATTTTCCATCAAAAACTGGTAGTGACAGACGTGGCAGCTTCATAGAAGTTGAGTGAGAAGCGCAATGAACTGAGTCAGCAACAGTCAAATTGTGGGCATCTGAACCTAGCTGCTCATTAATGCACACCTTGATAGCGACGTACGTATCTTCTATTTCTCCTCTGGTCTCACGCTCTGCTTCGTCTGGATCCAGCTGCTCAATTTCGGTCTGAACTGTCATAACTTGCTTAAAGTAGGCCTCTAATATAGCCAAACGACAATTCAATTCAGCGGATGAAATTGCAAGTTTTGTGTCGACAGAATTGCGAATGCGCGATATGTTTCGACGCAGATTAGCGCGCTGCTGTTTAAGTTGCTCCAAATTGGGCATGGTTATGAGATAGCAAATCTATTGCCCGCTTCTCAGATTTATGGGCTGTACAAAATTTAGCTCTAAGTATATTTTATTTGGCGGGACCTTTTGCGAGCCCAATTCTACTATAGCGGCTTGGCTTTGAAATACTGCCAACAATAACAACAACGCTTGCAAGAGAAGTAGTGTGAGACTACCTTGTATGTACTGTATGTGCTCGCAATATCAAATAACGTTGCCTTGCAAGGTGACCTGATATGAAAGAACCGCTAACAACAACGCTCCTGTAGCGAAATAGTTAGCAACTACAAAGCTCCTATAGCAATGTGTTTGAAACGGGATTGCGCGGGATTGAGACTCCGGCAGCCTTACTATGTCGAAAGATGTATGCTTTCGGTGTACCAGGTACCGATGGATACACAAGCTTCCTTATGCACCGTGCGGCCTGCGTNAACTAATGTTGTAAACAGGGTTTTAGTGATATAAGGGTCACTAAATTCTTTTCACCATCGTTTCACAAATGCAAGTACAACTTTAGCCTTGTTGACTGTCACATTAATGTGAAGATTAAAATTAAGTTTCGGATCCATTGTGATACCAAGGTCCACAAAATTATATACCTGTTCCAAATTATGATTATCTATTGTATAAGAAAGTGGCTGAACAGCTCTTCGCGAGAAGCACATTACTTAGCACCAGTTAGCCTTGCTGTTTAAGTCTGCTTGTAGCAAATGCTTTTCTTTGATTGATAGGTACGATTTCACATCATCTGCGTACATTAAAATTTTTGAAAATTTTATATCTGTAGAAATATCGTTTATAAAAAGCAAGAACAGAATCGGTCCTAGGTGGCTACCTTGCAGGACTCTTGAAGTAACACCAATGACGTCAGGAATAGTACTTTTAAACATAACCCTTTGCGATCTACCATAGAGTTATGAAGAGATGCAACGTAGAAAATTAGTTTAAAGACCAAGAAGACCAAGTTTATAGATGAGTAAGGAGTGACATACTTTGTCAAATGCTGTACTGAAGCCGGTATATATAACATTCACATTTTTGTTATCACTAAACGCTTTTGAGATATAGGTTGTGAGCTCAAGTAAATTTGTTGAAGTTAATTTGCCTTTGCGAAACCCATGTTGACAGTATTTATTTATTTATTTAATTCTTACAGCTTAATTAAGCCTAGCTTAAACTTATATGCATATACATATTTATGTATATTTAGGATCTATAAATTAAAGCCTAGACAAAGTATAAAGTATAGGCCATTTATGTGGACACCAACTGCAGTGAAAAACAATGAGGCATACTTCCAAAACAAACCATTACAATGATTGCACTATTTGGCTGCGGTTGAGCCACCGCGTATGCATGCAAAGTGCGAAACAAGCATCTTAATAGCGATTCACAGATTTGATCTAGCGCTGCGTTTTGTGATGAGCCTCGGCTGCTTTTCGGATGCGTGGGGAAGGGTATATGTTGGCGAAATGCAACAGTATACTTGGTGCGTATGCATTGCTATTGAAAGTCTGGAAGATTGCCCATGCATCACTAAATAGGAAGGATCCTACAATAATTATAAAATTTTTGTTTAAATTCATTCATATTGCTTGATTTAACATCTTTTGGTAATTCATTAAAGCATCTTTATCCTTTATAATACAAGTTACATTTATACCTTCTACTCAAGTATCTGCCGGTTCTCTGCGTAAAGTATATTTTTTTTTGCGATCTTGCCTACAGTATAATCAATGTGTTCGTTAAAGACTAGTTTATCATCGATCGTTATTCCTAGGTATTTGAATGTATTAACTTTTTCCAGTGCTTCGTTGTTTATATTTAGAGTTAGCAACTCACTGTTCTCAAAATTTCGCCTTGATATAACCATAAACTTAGTTTTATTGACATTCAATTTAAGTCTGTTCNGTTCAAACATAACCAATCGTATACTTTATTTAAGTCATCTTGCAATTTAGAGGCTATTTCAGCTATATTTTCTCCACTTAGCATAAGCAACGTATCATCAGCAAATAACTTAATATCGCAATACTTTTTGCAATAAATAATGTCATTAATATATATATTGAACAAAATTGGAGCTAGCACAGATCCTTGAGGCAGTCCGACAGATACACTTCTTTTATCGGATATTGATGATCCAATCGCAGTTCTTTGATATCGATTCGTAATGAAGTTTTCAAACCACTTTAGTTCGATACCATTTTCGCCCAAGAACGATAGAATACAAGATTGCGCATTCCCGCAGAATGACATTTGTGGCAACGGGTAAACAAATAATATGGCGAAGAACAATGAGTTGACAGTTGTGAATTTGCAGTGAGAAAACGTGTTTTCTTCTCGATTCACCAATTTCTCAAGCCATCTTTGAATATAGCAAATTAAGCACAACGTTAACAAAAAATATACAACCACTCTTGAAATGTGTTCAAAAGAATAGGTCTTATTAATTAACTATTTAGAATTTTTGTGTTTGTATTGCAGGTGCAGAAAAAGTGGTCGATACTTGCTTACCTCCGATTTTAATTTGTAATTTGTGGTATTTCAACGTTTTCAACTTAACATGTCGTGTTTAAAAGTGGTCCGTAAAGTGCTTCATGCATATTACGCTGGGGTCTAAATTGTATGGCTTCTCCTGCCAGCAGAACTCTACCCACTTTCTGGCCAAGCCGTCGTCGCGGGGAAACAAAAAAAAAAACTGCATTTGGGGGCTTTACCCCTACGGCTGCAGCAATTCAACACACGACACGACATTTTTATAAAGTTTTTATTACAAATAAAACGTTTTTTACTTCAGAACGCACGAATTACTTCGATTTTTTACTTGAAAGTACACAATACGTTTGCAATACGTTTGCACTTGTTTCTAAACAAAAAGTTTGTTTACGTATTGCCATAAATGTCAACGTCGGCAAAATCAAAGTAGCGGTTTCGGGAATGCGCCACCTTCAGTTCATTTCACCATGATTTACGCCTATATTGAATAACTTTTTTTGTAACAGTTTTTGGTCGATCGTTTCAAAGGCACGTTTTAAGTCTAAGAATACAGCTATTATATGTTAATTCATGCTCAGGTCTTCTTTCCAGTTAGCAAAAACCAGGTTCAAAACGCTTTCACAGTAATGCCTTTTACGGAAACCTGATTGTTGTGGTATAATAATCTTATTATTTTCCAAATATTGTACTAGTTGATTTTTAACCACTGTTTCAAGTATCTTTTCATCACAGGGCAATGTGTTTGTCTAATCTCGTCAGCTTTAATAGTATTTTTTGTTTTCTCCTTCGGTATGACAATGGAAGTTTTCCAGTGATTTGAGACTATACCTTTCTCTAGACTTTTGTTAACAAATCTGAGTGTAAAAAAAAATATAAGTTATAGAGTCTTTAATGACTCCATCGGAAAATAGTTTCTTACCACCAATCTTATTTTTGAATTNTAAAAATACCCAGTATAAGTTATAGAGTCTTTAATGACTCCTTCGGATAATAGTTTCTTACCACCAATCTTATTTTTGAATTTTCTAACTATATCTAGGATGTCATTCGTTGATACGCTTTGGAATTTAAAGCTAATGGCTCCATTAGCAATAGACGTTATTTCATGATTACTAGGATCAATATTTAAGCTGATTTCCATCGCATTGTCAATGAAGTAGTTATTCAGTGAATGTGCTATTTCACTTTCATGTGTGAAAAGTTGGCCTTTAATTACTATTTTATTAATGACACTATTATCTTTAGACATAGATATGCAATTTTTCAAGTGTTTCCACATGGCCTTGCTATCTCCTGCATTACATGTTATTTTGTGTTCCATGTATTTAGCTTTTTTAACCTTTATTAGTCGTTTGTATTTACAACGGGTAATATTATATTCATGCCAATCCCCCGACTGTAGAGCGATATTGTAGAGATTTAACTTATGCTTGTTTAGGTTTGCCAGTTCGAAATCATACCACTTGTTCATCAGTTTAACACTGATTTCTTTCGAATATGTCAAAATGCTCATAGCATTTGATAATGCATTATTCAATAATGCAACCTTATTATCGATACTTAAATTCNTAATGTATTATTCAATAATGCAACCTTATTATCGATACTTAAATTCTCAAAATGGCTATAATTAGATTGCCGCAATTGGTCAACAAGGCAATCACTAGTGTAATGTTCCCAAGAAGTTATATTTTCCTAGCTCTCATTTGAAACATTCTTTCCAACTTGATTTTAAAGTAGATAGTTTCGTGATCCGTAACTCGATGGTCATCCAGTCTTTTACAAGAAACATATTGGTTCTGAGTTATCCCCTTTACGCATATAAAAATCAATTTTTTGGTCCATTACGAATGACTGAAATAAGTCCACTAACTGCCTACTGTAAGTTGTAATTTTGTAAAGATTTATATTGAAATCACCAATGAAAACAACATTATCATGTGTTAAGTAACTATTGTTTAAAATATCGTTTAAGTGTAAAATAAAGTCTGCATCACTTGAGCTAGGAGAATGATAAATTAAGCCTATTTGGTATTGGGGAAAAACATTTTTAATTTTAAGTATAATTCACCAAAGATTTTGAAGTGCAACTTCTTTAGCGGCGGCTGGTTGGTTGGGAGTAAATTGGCAAATTCAGCGGAAATTGCACACGGATCTGGTTGGGACGGAAATGATGCGACGGAAGTGATGCAACGGAAATGATTGGGGCTGAAACAAGTACTTCTTGTGTATATGCAACGGAAATGATGCACAGAAATGATGCAACGGAAGTGGTGCAACGTGCTTCTTATGTGTATGCATATGGTATCTATAAATTTAACAAAAATTTTCTAACAAAAGGTTAAAGAATAACACTTAGAAAAATACCAATACAAGAATGAAAGTAAAGGTGACTACGTACATAAATGAAGAAAAGGATAAAGNTAGAAAAATACCAATACAAGAATGAAAGTAAAGGTGACTACGTACATAAATGAAGAAAAGGATAAAGGCAAAGG